GAAAAAAAGAAATGACTTTGTTCCCTTAAAAGATCTCAAGGGCACCCTTCACACACTCCCTGCCACCTGGCTCTTTGACCAAGCACTCTGATCATTTGCTTCTCAGAAGCAATTACAAACCATTAAGGATATAGCTGTTAACAGTACTCATTGGATTAAAAGGAAAATATTGATCTATCCTCTGTGTATGGCCTGACTGGCTCTGCTATGAAGTCTCTGGGGGTTCTCTTCTCCTCCCCAGGCCTCAGTTTCCCCAGCTGGACAAGAGGGAGTGGGATGCCATGGTGTGGGAGCTGAGTGGTGGCAGAGCATGACTAGCCCGTGGGATGGCTCTGCTTAGCCCCCCCACACAGGCATGAACTTCCAGAACTTGGGCTCCTGCAGAATCCTCAGCTGGAACCACTCCAGGTGGGATCGCACACCCCAGGAGAGTATCCTCCCAGATGTAGACATAGGGAGGAATCTGTACAAGGGCAACAAAAGGCAGGTGACATTTCCCATGGGCTCCAACCATATCTTATGCAGCATCTTTGACGGCAGCAGGGAGCCCAGACAGCCGCTGGGTTAGGGCTTGGGCTCTGGAATTGGACTTCACATCCCAGCTCTGTGGCTGACTAGCTATGGGCCCCTTCTCTTTGGGCCTTAGTCTTTTTTCTCAGTAAAATGAGGAAACTAATCCCCCAGAGCGTGGCTGAGAGGATTAGAGGAGATAATGCAGGCAGAAAGTGCTTCAGTAGATGCCAGCACTTTCCTGATGCCGTGTCCTTTAAGCCTCACTAGGACCCTTTGCTGCTGACACATTTCCTGGGTGAGAAAATGGGAGGCTCCTAAGACAGGTTCAATCCTCATCCTCCCAGTGGCCACTCAGAGATGTGAAGACACCTAATCCATGCCACCCTGAGCCCATGTCTGCTTCTCTAGGTTATCCTCTCAGCTCTTCTGCCCTTCCCTGTGTGGACACTTCCTGTGCAAGCTCCATTTGTCCATGTCACAATCCCTGCCACAAGGCCCAGGGCTGGTTAGACCCTCTGTACCAATCCACGCTGCCCCAAGACAGTGTGGAATCACCCTAGGCTGCTTTTCCTGCCCCACACTGGGCAGGGAGTGCCACAGGCCATTTCTAGACCCACCTGCTATCTTGCAATTTGTCGCTGTAAAGACTCCCAAGGGGTGAGTCAAAGCAGGCTGGGAACCGAACTTGGCCAGCTCTAAGGGTAGGTGTCTCTGCCATGGGGAAGGGGGCTGACAGCTTGATGGAAGCCATGCCACCTCTCTGTGCACAGTGGAGCTGCAGCCTGTCTGTTTCCTGCAGTTGGCGGTGCAAGAAACCTGACCAGGCATCTGTTCTGCGGGCTGGGATCAACAAAGGCCACGAGTGTGGGAAGGAACTCCAGTGCAGGGCAGGTGGAGGTTCTGGCTGAGGCCACAGTCAGCTTCCTGGAGGAAAAGCAGGCAGTGAAGGCCCAAGGTTTTTTGGAGAGCTTGTGGTATTTCTCACTCACCTGGCCAGAGAATTCTAGGAGGGAAGACTTTCATACCCAAGAAGCTAAGACCACTTCATACCCTGCAACATCTGTCTTCACCACAACCGGGGGGTGGTAATTGAGCCTTCTAGAGGCAGTGGCCCCCAGATTGCCAGAGTGTGGCTGAGCTGGGAAGGGCCTGACTTCCATAAAGGCTGGTCTGGAGCTGCTGGCTGGGAAGGGTTACTTCTATGGAGAATGCCAAAGAACTCTTTTGAGAGTGCCTCTTTCCATGAATGCAGTATAGGACAGCACTTTGAAAGGCTGGAAGTGCTTTTGCATCATAGATTGAATCATGGAGATAATTCAGAGGCCTTCCCTTCTCCCTGTCTCTGATCAGCATGGTGGGGTGCTGAAGGATGGACACAACCCTCAAAGTGACAGACCAACCCCCCACTGCTGGGCAAAGCCTCTATCATCATTCCTGCCTCAAATGAGCTGCTGGTTGCAAATTCCCAGTGAGGGGAAGCTCATTATACTTCCAGGTGTAAATGAGATTCTCACCACTCACTTGGACCCTAAATGCTGGTGACTCCTTCTTGGTGGGTCCAGCTCTGCCCTTTGGGGCTCCCTCATAATCCATACCCTTTGGAAATTTGAAAACACTGCCCAGATTCCCTCATCCAGGCTAAACATGCAGAACCAGAGAACACAAAGGGAGGAAAGAGATGGTAACGATTTTGCCCAGCCAACTTTATCCCATACGCAGACACTTCCCAGCTCCTGTACTCCATTGTCTCAGTGAGCATCAGAGAGCTTCCTGAGAGTCTAGAGAAACCATTTCAAACGGGTGTTGTAAGGAGGACAGGGCCTAGCCAAGCACTGCCTTGCTCCCCAGTGACACCAATGACTTGCTGAAGTGTGTGCGTCCGGACATACTCATGTACGTGCATTACTGACTCACACAGGACACCGTCCTTCAATCCTGGGCAGCCACACTTCTGGGTTTACAAATGGGACCATGGCAGCACTTGAGTTATCCACTCAAGCCACTTCAACTCATCCTCATTACCTGGAAAGTGGCCCATCCACCTCTCACTCCACCTTCACTCTGGGCTAGGATACCAGGTGCTCCTTACCTACGAACACTGCACCGACGGGCTATTCAGACATGGGGAGGCATCCGGTCATGACTAATGACAGGTGCTCATAGCGTCCCTTCAGCCCGAGTGAAACAGCTTCCTTCTAGGCCCCAGAAATCAGAATGAAGCCAAAAGCTTCTTGGAAAGAGAACAGCTGGTTTATACTCTGGAGCAGGCCATGCACAGATAAGTGACTTGATGAGACACAGACAGGGACCTGATTCTGAGTCTGTCTTCTCTCAGCAGCCTAAGAAGTAGACCTATAATGACACTTGTGATAGCAACTCAGTGACATAAAGCCACGTCCAGAATGGACACCTGCGGCCCAGAAACTTAGAAGGAGACGGTTCTAGCTGAGACCTTGTGATCCTTTGTATAGAATGTACAGGAGTTCTAAAACCACCTTTGAGCAGAAGTGGGCAAGTTCTGGTCTGAGAGCCTTTAGAACATTTGAGGTCCTATAGGTTAAGTGCTTTTATACTTTAATATGCATGCAAATCACCCGGGGGTCTTGTTAAAACAGATTCTGACTCCGTAGGTCTGGGGTAGGGCCCAAGACCCTGTATTTCTCACCAGCTCCTAGGGGATGCAATGCTGCTGGTCTAGGGACCGTGCTGTGAGCAGCACGGTGCCAGACCAGACTAGAGCTTCAAAGGTAACCCTACCCTCGAGGGACCTACAGGTGGTCAGTCTAGGAGAGTGTGAGACCCTCCACCTGTCTCAGTGCTATCTCATGCCACAGGCCCTGGGTGTCTGGGAGAGCTGCCACACGAGCCCTTTAATCAAACTGGTGTTTGCAGAAAGTAAGCTCTTGGGTAGCAATGGCCCCATTCCAGCTCCCCTCACAGCCAGGAGAAGAGCACAGCCCCTTATTGGCGATGCCAGGGGACAGAGACAGTCCTTGGATTCCCTTGTGCCAAAGGAAGACAGGGGGCTGTGAAATGCATGGGAGCGACCTGACCTTCAACCTCACGACTACTCCTATGTCTGGCTCTCGGCCAGGTGCTCAAAGTCTGACAGGTGGAGACTGGTACTGACAGGGCTAACCGTACAATGAGAGAAACGTCATGCCAGGGTTGAGTGCAAGAAGCTCAACAGGCCCAGAGACACAGTAAGAAAGCCCTTGGGATGCACAGCTATGTCCCAGGAAGGGCTCACAGAGATGGCAACGTGTGAGCTGGGCCTGGAAGGAGGCACAAGGTTTTTTCCATGGCAGTAAAGGGCACTTAGGCAGAAGGAATGGAATTTGCACAATGCACACTACGTCCAGGGAACTGTGAGTAGTATGTGTTTGAGCAGCTAGAACATCAATTGTTGTTCAGGATAGGGGTAGGGCCGAGGCCTCGCTGCTGGGGACTAGAAAGGAAGTGTCCAGCTGAGTACGAAAAAGAGAGATTTCAGGCAAAAATGAATCTTAAATTAAAAATTAAAACCAC